CCAGCTCTGGAGCCCTCAGTACAAGAAGGACATGGAAGTGTTGGAGCGGGTCCAGAGGAGGGCCACAAAGATGATCCGAGGGCTGGAGCACCTCTCCTATGAGGACAGGCTGAGGGAGTTGGGCTTGTTCAGCCTGGAGAAGAGAAGGCTGCGGGGAGACCTGATTACAGCCTTTCAATACCTAAAGGGGGCCTATAGGAAAGATGGGGAAAACCTTTTTAGTAGGGCCAGCTGTGACAGGACAAGGGGTAATGGCTTTAAACTGAAGCAGGGTAGGTTTAGACTGGATATAAGGAAGAAATTCTTTACAATGAGGGTGGTGAAACACTGGAACGGGTTGCCCAGAGAGGTAGCGGAGGCTCCATCCCTGGAAGCATTCAAGGCCAGGTTGGACGGGGCTCTGTCCCTGCTCACTGCAGGAGGGTTGGACTAGATGACCTCTAGGGGTCCCTTCCAACCCAAAACATTCTATGATTCTATGATTCCAGTGCCCCTCATGGCCCAACTTACTGTATAAGTGCAAAAGCAATTTGTATACTGCAGTTGTCAAATACTTCCACAGCATGATATGAGAAGGTTTGGCCTGTTCCCGAGTTGCTCTAGATACCAACCATGATATCTGTTCTTTTGGCTTATGCACGGTGACCGTGCTCCATATTCAGTGAGGAGGAGTGGAAGGCTTCACTTTAAAAGTACTTGCCTTAAGTTTCGCTAGCAGGGGATGAAACAAATAAACTGTAGTGCTATGAAAAATGTTCATCTCCTGAACAGCCAAACGGACTCCTTTAAGAAAAGCAGAGCAAAGAATCCATCTTTCTTAATATGGGGTGAATAGCTAGAATATACAGAAAATTATATTGTAGTAACACCAATTAGCAATAGTATGTCTTATCATATAGGTAATTTATTCTGGAATTCCCATTATATTAGTAATTACCTGGATAAATCTCTTATTAAAAGCAAATTAAAATAGTTACTTTGGGTCTATTTAGAACATGTACTGAAAGAGAGGGGCTAAAATTTCTGTCTTAAAGGTTGAATGACATTAGCTTATTGTTACTGTATTGTGAAACAGATTTGATATAATTGTACTGTTGAATCTTGAGTAGTACTCTGATTCATCAGCTGCTTCTTTAATATTCTAGTTCCCCCCATATTTAGTAAGAAATCATTAAGATTCACAAAGAATCTTAGTTTAAGATTTTGTGTTATGGTAGTACGTTACATGTATTTGGGGATGTTTGAAAATAAAAATGACAGAATATCTGTTAGTAGTGAAATACCATAAACAAAAGAGTGTTTTGTAATACAAGCTAACTTTTTTCCCTTGTAAGTAACCTTAATAATTTTAATTAAGAATTTAAATGAAATTGTAATTATACACACAAATTTGGAATTTAAAAATTATTATTTTTTCTGAAAAAAACCTAAAATTTAGTAACTACAGCATCTTTGATTGCATATTCTATGTTTTTAATGTTTTGTGCACATGCAACGTGAAATAGAGGCTTTGTGGGCTTCAAGGATACCACTGGATGTTTCTCTTGACTCACTGTTGCTTTCCTCTTCATCCCCTCCTGCAGCTGCTTGTAATTAGCTGAGGATCAGGTGGCCTTGGTCATTTATCAAATCCAGCTGGGAAGTTGATTAATTTCTCTAAAAGAGCTCAGGTAAAAGGAGGTATTTTCTTGTAAGTGGGCCTGGAGGGAGAGGGACAGAGAGGTTATAAGCTTATCAATTAGATGTAGAGGAAAACGTATCTTCTTGAGAACCTGAGTAGGCATGAAGGGCTCAAAAACTCTGAAGAGTTCATCCTCTGCAAGAACAACAAGGATAAAAATAGTTGAGAAGTGATGTTCTCATTTTCTTTGAAGTGTTTTTGTTTGTTCTCTGCTCCCTGACTGGAAGAGATAGAGGTGCAGTTTCCTGAGGTAGGTACTAAGCAAGCCGAGTGACTGATGATGAGAACCAACTTAGGAGTAAAAACCTGGAATAGAAAGTTTGTGCTTTGCCAGGCAACAAGCAGATGATTTCTTTAGGGAACTAAAGTGACCAGTTTCTGAAACCAAATCAACAGTGCTGAGACATTAGAACCACTTGAGTACCTCTGGCTGGTCCCTTGGAGTGCAAGGGTGTTCAAGGAGCTCAGAGCAAAACATTTGGTTTTATTCTGGAAAGTTGGACACCCTAAACTTCAATGCTAAAGTTACTTTTTGAAAAGGTGAATGGGGGGGAGGCATGCTTTGCCGGCTAAAATGTAGAGTAACTGAGTAATCAGGTTCCTCATATCAATCAAAAGGAATATTGCTGGAACTGATCAACTGAAAGCTTGATTCTGATGCAAAAAGGTCTTTGCTTAATTTGCAATTCAAATCCTTATATATAAATGGCTTTAAGCTGATTGTGTCTGGAAAGAACGGAAGTTAGATGAATTGGGTGAATTCAGAGGGACTTCCGAGTCCCACTATTTGTAACTACTTTGTATTTTTGTATTGGAAGTAACAGGAGTGTTGCTAAAGACGTTGCAAGAAGTTCCTTAGAGATGTTCCAGACACAGTACACTAATTGAAGTTCAGTCTAACTTATTTTTGTCTTTGTAGTACATTTTGTGCTATCAGTTTGCAGCAAA